AACAAGAGCAAAACTCCGTCTCAAAAAAAAAAAAAAAGAAAAGAATAATAAGTATAACTGACAGAAAAGAAGAGGCAAAGACTGATTTTTCACAGTTGGCATGATTATCTATCCAGCAATATGAGACACTGAACTGAAAAACTGTTAGAACCAAATAAATGTATTAACTAAGAAAGTTTTTCTTTATACATATGATATGCAAACTAAATAAAATGCAAAAGAATCTATACAGTCTAGAAACAAAAAATGCAAAATATCTAACAATAAACAAGGAATGTTCAAGAGCTGTATGATATAAACATAAACTTGAATAAGAGAAGTGAAGTAGAACTGAATCAGAAGAAAGGTACCATGTTGCTGGCCAGGCGCAGTGGCTCACACCTGTAATCCCAGCACTTTGGGAGGCCGAGGCAGGTGGATCACAAAGTCAAGACACCGAGACCATTCTGGCCAACATGGTGAAACCCCATCTATACTAAAAATATTTAAAAATTAGCTGGGTGTGTTGGTGCACACTCATAGTCCCAACTACCTGGGAGGCTGAGGCAGGAGAATCACTTGAACCAGGAGGTGGAGGTTGCGGTGAGCCAAGATCGCACCGTTGCACTCCAGCCTGGCAACAGAGTGAGACTCCGTCTTAAAAAAAAAGAAATACCATGTTGGTAAATGAAAAGTTATTAATTCTTCCCAGTTTTCTGTAAATTTAATGTATGTTTAATAAAAATATCAATCGGATTTATTTACTTGAAATTCACAAACCGATTCTAAAATTCATGGGAAAAAGACACTGTTCCAAAATAGACCCCCCCAAAATTGTGGAGAACATCAAGGTAGATCTAATGTACCATGTCAAAACATTAAATAAAAACAGTACAGCTAGAGACAAACAGGTCGACAGACAGCCATCTAATATAAGAGAAGTTAAAGTTAGAATTTTATATGATAGCAGTGGGTAAAGAATGTGGTATTCAGTGAATAGCATTGAAATAACTGTATATCCATTTAGAAATATGATTTCCTACCTCAATCCATGTACCAAATCAAATTCTTGACTGATTAAAATATCTTTAGAGAAAATTAGTATAAAATCCTAGAAGAAAATAGAGGTCAGCTGGGTGCAGTGGCTCATGCCTGTAATCCCAGCACTCTGGGAAGCCCAGGCAGAAGCATCACTTAAGCCCAGGAGTTCAAGACCAGCCTGAGAAACATAAGAAGAACCTGTCTCTACAAAAAAATATTAAAAAAAAAAAAAAGCGGGAATGGTGGTACATTCCTATAGTCCCAGCTACTTGAGAGACTGATGGGGGAGGATCTCTTGAGCCCGTGCCACTGCACTGTAGCTTAAGTGACAGAATGAGACCCTGAAAAAAAAAAAAGAAAGAGGAAAGGAAGGGAGGGAGGGGAAAATATAGGTTAATGTTTTCATAATTTGGGGCTGGGGAAAGCTTTCTTAAGCAAGACGAAAAACTCAAAATTATAACAGAAAAAATGGACAGATTTGACCTTATAAAGCTATTTTTAATTCCTTGTGGCCAAAGATAACAAACAAGAAGTTAAAGACTGACTACAGTCAGAGAGTATATTTGCAATATGTATAAACAAGTCTGAGTATTTCATAGATTGTAACTAATATGCATTATTTTGTTACTTAAGTATCCATTAGATATAAAGACTTCAACAAATCAATAAGAAAAAGAGAAACATACAGCCGGGCATGGTGGCTCACACCTGTAATCTCAGCACTTTGGGAGGCCGAAGCGGGTGGATCACTTGAGGTCAGGAGTTCAAAACCAGCCTGTCCAACATGGAGAAACCCCGTCTCTACTAAAAATAAAAAATTAGCCAGGAATGGTGGTACATGCCTGTGATCCCAGCCTTGGAAGGCTGAGGCAGGAGAATCGCTTGAACCTGGGAGACGGAGGTTGTAGTGAGCCAAGATTGTGCCACTGCACTCCAGCCTGGGCAACAAGAGCAAAACTCCATCTCAAAAAAATATAAATAAATAAATAAATAAATAAGATAAACATACTTATAGAAAAATGGCAAAGCTTTTAAAGGGAGAATTTACAGAAAAAAAAGTACCAGTAGTCACTGCGTAGCTAAAAGTTGCTCTGTCTCATTAGTGATCAGGGAAATGTAAATTAAACATGAGATTGAGAAAATAAATAATATTGATAATATTCCAATTTTTGGTGGAATTGGGTAAGAAAAAGGGACGCTCACACCTGTGAGGTTAGAATAGAAACTCATTCAGCCAAATTGCAAAACAATTTAGCAAAATCTATGTAAGTGTAAAAGAGAATAATAATCCTTAAAAATGCCAACTCTATGCTTGACAAATCTATTCCACAGAAATATTTGTTCATATGCACAGTAGTTTTTTAATAGCTAAATATTGAAATAACTTATAATCCTCTGTAGAATAGTTAAATAAATCGTTACATCTATACAGTAGAATTCCCTGCAGCCATAAAATGAATGTCATGTATTAATTCATGTGTCTTGATATAGAAAGACTCCTAGATGCACTGTTAAGAAAAAGAAGGTAGGGCACAGTGGCTCATGCCTGTAATCTCAAAGCTTTGGGAGGCCAAAGAAGGCAGATCGTTCGAGCTCAGGAATTCAAGAACAGCCTGGGCAACATGGCTAAATAGAATAGAATAAAATAGAATACTACCAAACTATTAACTATGGCATCTTTGGAGAAAAGAACAAAATAAGAAAAAGAGTTGGTGAAGGAAAATGTGCATTTTATTATATATTTTTAATTGTGACTAATATGCATTATTTTGTAACTTAAAAATGTAAACTTTGAATATCCAGAAGAAAATATCTTGTAAGAACAGAATGTACAGGCATATGTAAAGAAATAATTGTGCACTAAGGTGTAAATAGTTCTGCCCTCTATTCTTTATTCACTAACTAGGTAAAAAATTGTGGAAGGTGAAAGAAAAAAATAATGGAAGAAATTTGTAATTGAAGTGTAACCAAATATGTAGATTACAGGCTGCAGCCTTCACAATGTCCATTATCTGTGGAGGAGAGGTCTCTGTTTCCATGGTAACACCACCTGCAGTAGAGAGAATTTGTAGAAATCCTTTTTCTCAGGAGGAAGTGCATGAAGTGTGTGCTAATTTACTGAACATAAGTTTGTCTCTCATTGTTCGTCCTGAGGGGGACTTTTTTTTAATGCTCAATCACAAAATCCATCACTGACTTAAAATGGCAAAAGCCAAAATGAAATTTCTGGCTAAGTGGTCACCTTGTCTTGACTGGCTCGATAATATGACATCTCAAGGACAGTCCATTCTGACTCTGGGAGTCCCCAGTCAGGCATTAGAACAGCAGTATAATCTTTCACTTGTCACTTTCTAGGTCAGTGACACAGATTTTCCTTGGCCGTATTCTTTTTTAAAAATTAATTTTATTTTTTGCTTGACAAATAATAATTGTACATGTGCCTAACATACATAGTGATGTTTTGATACATATAATATACGGTGATCAGATCAGGGTAATTAGCACATCCATCATCTCAAACATTTGTCATTTCTTTGTGTTGGGAACATTCAATATCTTTCATATTGGGAAAGATTTACGCATAGATCTTACGAAATTGTCCCCAAATTTGGCTGTCTCCGTTTCCATTCCAACCTTTCAGGCTTGTCTTTGAGAAAATCTATACATGGCAGATGTTTATATAAATTACCTAAAAGTCAATATTTTCTTTACTAAAACGTAATCCTTAGTTGTGCCATCAAGAACAACTAAGAAAAACTGCTAACTGTCATCTCAGTTGAAGTGACTCTTTTTCCTGCTTTTCAGACATCTCGAGATCTGGCATGTTTTATACAGTTTGAAAATGTCAACATTTACTACGGGACTCAGCATAAAATGAAATATAAAGCACCCACTGACTACTGCTTTGTTTTAAAGGTATGTTGTAAGAAGTCATTCGTTTAGATTTATAAGCAATTTGAGTCAATTTTTTTAAAGAAGAAAATGCTAAATGTTATATAGTTAACTAAATGTGTAACATAATAAAAATTGTTTAACCAAAATAGGAATGGGGGAAACATTTCTATCAGCTTGGGGCATTTGCCCCAATGCCTCCTATCTGAACCTAAAACTTTCAGGTAAACCTGTCTGGGGATTTCTTCACTTCTGAAAAATGGAAATTCCACATTTTAAACAAATTAATTTATAATTTTATTGATAAGACTAAAAAAAGTTTTCAGTTCTTTATTTACTGGGCTCATACCACCATAAGAAGTTTTTAGAAATTAGAAACTTGCCAACATTTCCTAGAAAATCTATAGAAAATAGCCAAAAAAATATGTTTTAATTACTGGGTCATGACATTTAAGGTGTATATTGTCAAAAGGCAATATGTATTATCAAATGTTAGATATGGTTTACATTTTTTTGAGACAGAGTCTCACTATGACACCCAGGCTGGAGTGCAGTGGTGCAGCCATAGCTCACTGTAGCCTCAGCCTCCCACACTCAAGCAATTCTCCTGCCTTAGCCTCTCAAGTAGCTGGGACTACAGGCACTAAAGACAGGGCTTTACCATATTACCCAGGCTGGTCTCAAACTCCTGGGCTCAGGTGATCCACCTATCTTGAGCTCCCAAACTGTTGGGATTACAGGCATGAGCCGCCACTCCTGGCCAATTTACATTTTCAAAAATTAGAATCTCAGATCGGTCTAATCAGGAGATGGGTTATTACAGCCACACATGGGGTGTGTTTTTCTGTATGCCTACAGAACTCTGGATTGAGGACTAGGGTACGTTTTTGTCTGTGTTTCTTTTTAGTCAAAAATAATAATCAGGCCAAGTCAATTGTATTTAGTAATTTTGACTCCCTGAACAATTACAATCACTTATTGTAATCATCAAATAATAATTGGTCGAAATTCTTGGCTTCATCATAGACTCAGGATATTGAATGGTTTTCATTCAGATGTTTTAGATTTTTTCTTTTTTAAATTGCTAAGCATCCACTTAGTTATTTACAGATAATATTAATAATAAAAGCCACTATACTAGCCCAGTCAGCCTGATACTGCCCCAGTGGTTCTCAGCCAGGCATTTTGCCTCCAAGGGTCATTTGGCCAACTTTAAAGATGTTTTTGATTGTCATAGCTTGGGGGATGAAACGGGGACTACTGACATCTAGTAGGCCAGGCGTGCTGCTTAATAACTTGCAGTGCACAAGAAAATCCCCCCACCAAAGACTTCCCTGGCCCCCAGTGTCAACAGTGCGGCTGCCAAGAACCCTGCCCTACACAGAAGAGCCCCAAACAATGACCATGTAGTCACTGGAGGCAGGGAGAAGGCTGGATCCATTCGCTCACTCATACATTTACTCATTTAATATTTGTTAAATGATGGCTGGGTGCACTGGCTCACACCTGTAATCCCAGCATTGTGGGAAGTCAAGGTGGATGGTTCATTTGAGGCCAGGGATTCTAGACCAGCCTGGCCAACATGGTGAAACTGTGTCTCTACTAAAAATACAAAAAGTAGCTGGGTGTGGTGGCACACGCCTGTAGTCCCAGCTACTCAGGAGGCTGGGGTAGGAGAATCGCTTGAACCTGGGAGGTGGAGGTTGCAGTGAACTGGGATCACACCACTGCACTCCAGCATGGGTGACAGAGAGAGACTCTCCCTCAAAATAAAAAAAAGAAAAAAATATATTGGTTGAACGACAAGGATTATTATTTTTTTCACTTGGAACAGTGATGGGAATGGGGCAGTGAAAACAATACAACAATCCCTGTCTTCGTGGAGCTTAAAAATGGCAAAGAACAAAAAATAATGTGATGTTAAGTAATAAAAAGGAGCAATAGGAAGCAGGGCTAGGGCCAGGCCTCCTTTGGATGGGATGTTCACAGGAAGGCTCTCCAAGGAAGTGACATTTGACAAAAGATGTGAATGAAGTGAGGGAGCAAGAATGACCTGCAGTACAAGCCCTCCAGGAATAAGAACGGGAAGGGCAAACCCCTGAGGCGAGGGAGGAACAGAGATGAGGAGCATGCCCTGCCTGCCTCTGGTCCTCGCACCTCCTTGTCTGTTCCTGATATAGGAAAAATGAGAATGAAGGCGGCTGGGCGTGGTGGTTCATGCCTGTATCTCAGCACTTTGGGAGGCTGAGGCGGGTGGATCATGAGATCAGAAATTCAAGACCAGCCTGGCCAAGATGGTGAAACCCCGTTTCTACTAAAAATATGGTGCCAGGCACCTGTAATCCCAGCTACTCGGGAGGCTGAGGGCAGAGAATTGCTTGAACCCAGGAGGCGGAGGTTGCAGTGAGCCGAGATCGCACCACTGCACTTCGGCCTGGGCAACAGTGATACTCCGCCTCAACAACAATAACAAAAAAGAATAATGACAAGCACTTCTATAGCATTTTCTTTATAGATGTGGAATGTGTGCAGAGAGACTCCCTAGCCAGGAAGTGGCCAAGTCAGGATGGGAACCCAGGCAGTGTGGCTCGGAGACCATTCTCTCAGACACTGTTTCTTGGGCCGCCAGAGATCTGAACACGAAGCGTCTCACACTACCCTGCCCCTCCCACAATGCCACCTGCCCTTGAGCCATGTCTTCTCATGTTTGGAATCCTAAGACCTCGATAAATCACCAAAATGGAGGTCCTAGTTTCCACATGGACATTTCAACACACTTCATTGCCAAAGCGTTGTCCACGCTTCTTAGATCAGGAAAAGGTTTTGGAGAAAGTTTCTGAAATGCCAATCAGTAAACCAGCTGAATCAGTCACTGGAGACTCACTAAAAATGCAGGTTCCTGGGCTCTGGGCCCACTAAATCAAAATAATGATGGAAGCTGGGGTTAGGGTTAGGGTTTAAGGAGAGAGCCTAGGAATCTTTATTTTTCCTAAGCATGGTCAAGTTTTGTACTGAGGGTTAGAATGCATCCTCACTCTAACCATCAGTAGTCAGGGCTTAGCTGGTGATGAAATGGCCTTCAGAGTGGGCAGACAGGATGGAAGTCTAGCAGAAGGAAGCAGGAGCCAAACCAGGGCTGGGGTCCAGAAACCAGAGCAGGGATGTCTGCCAAAAAAAAGGCAAGGTCTCTGACTAGAGGTTCCCAGGATGGAGATTTAGACCCAGTGAACAGAGCAGGGACTCAGTTTCTCAAACTGACACATAAGTTTGGGACTAGGACCTACAGCTGGCAGGACTTGAACTGTCTGACCTAGAACATAAGGTTATCCTGGGATTACTCCAAGAACAGCAATGCTAATTCCCAGAGTATTCAACTAGAATTTCTAAAAATCCCTACTATCCAAGGCCTGGGTCTTCAAGAGAGAGTTGAGGATCTCCCCAAAGGAGAGAGAGGGGCTCAGAGGTGGAGAACCTAGCAGGGCTAATGAATCTGGGAGCAAGAGTCATGAGCAACCCTTCCAGAATGTGCATTTCCTTTTTTCTCAGGATGATGCTCAGTTCTGTTCTAAAGCCAGTTTCCTTATGTGCAATCACCCTGCTCATTTTGTTCTTAAGCATGCTTCTCAGTTCCTTCCCAAAATACTGAGAATTTTTATTTATTTGCTGAGTAAAGGGTATGTTGAGATTTAGAGAACAAATTTGTTTATTATGAGCATAATTTGTTCATGAAGATTTTGGTCACTTATTTGCCTTTTTGTCTGCTGTTTTAAAAAAATAAAAATAAAAACTCTTGCTTGCTATTCTTTGAGACGTGGGTTTCACCGCCCCGGAGGTCTGACCTGCAAGACCTGACTCAACGACGAATGAATGAATGCACTTTTTTTTTTTTTTTTTTTTTTTTTTTGAGATGGAGTTTCACTCTTGTGAATGCACTTTCACACCATTACAGTGTTTCAAAGGGGCTAGGGAAAGGCCGCTGGCTGCTTTCAGAGAGCCAACGCAACCAATCGACCTAGATTCCCTGTTCATCCACACATTTATTCCCTAGATGTTACAACAGAGGTTCTAAGTTAACACACTTGTGGATAATTAACATGGTTAAGAGAATGGTTTCACAACTGGTAAAAGTTTTTGGTTCCAGGGCCCAGAACAAATGCAATTAACAGGTAATTCCCCTTCATCCTCCCAGAGAGACCACTCAGCACAAAATTAACATGAGTATACAGTTAGAGTGTAGACAAATGGGCATGGGATAAGGCCTTTTGATCAGTCTCTAATCTCCTTCCTATGCTAATATTAAAGAGGTGGCTGCCTTCAACCTGCCGCAATAAAATCTTTTGGCCTTCCAAAAGTCTTGAGACTAATCTATCACTTTCCCTAATATATCTTTAATGTATTCTGTAATATTTTGCCAACCACCCCGAGTGAATCTCATCATTCTTTATTAGGGTTAGCCGATTTCCAAAATGCAAAGAATGTGTGTGTAGATTGCAAGAGGGATTTAGGATACTGGAAGACCTGTTAACAGATTGCACAATTTCATGGCTTGATACGTCCAGGCCAAAGTTTCCTCTTCAATATGAGCTTGATGACTATGGCTGTTCATGAGAGGTGCTGTCGGAAAGATTGGAGTCCAAGTCCTGGCCCTGTCATCTAGTAACTGGGTCAACTATTGAGATGCTAAGCCTCATTGCATCATCTTCAAGAGATAAGAGTGCCCAGCCCTTCTCTTGAGAATTAAATATGATATGCTTATAAAATCATGAGTGCAATGTCTAGAAACATATCAGCCCTCAGTAAGTGGTAGTTATTACTGCCCTCTAGTATCAAATCTTTTTATTAACCAGTGGTTCTCAAACTTTAGTATGCATCAGAACCATTTATATTGTTAAGACACAGAGTACTAGGCCCCAGGGTTTTTGATTTAGTAAGTCTGGGATTGGACTAAGACATTTGCTTTTCTTTCTTTCCTATTTACTTATTCATTTATTTTTTAATTGACACATAGCAATTGTGCATTATGA